ATCTCCTGCAATGAAAGATAAGGAGCTGACACGTGACCACTCACCAAATTAAGGATTGAGATTTAAACTCACCAAAACAACACTGTTTCGGTGAGTAATTTGAAAAAATAAATAAATAAATAAATAATTCAAATTTCTTTTGTTTGTTCTGGGTTTCACTTCTATCACCGACCCATTTCCTAAACCTAACCCCACTCCGGCATAGCCTCCCTCGCTGGAGCTCTCCCAGTCGTCACCTGCCCATTCTCAACGATTCGTCGCCTCCTTCGCCCTCGCCGTCTACCGCCCACACCGCTTCTCTCTTCCTCCTTTCATTGTCCTCCCCTTAAAGCAATGGTGCCTTTTGTGATACAGCAGAAAGAAGGAAGGGACTTGAGACAAGAACAACAAAACAAACATAGAGTGAGAGAGAGACAAGAAGAGAGAGGGAAGGAGATGTTACAGTTGGTGGAACAAAAAAATTCTTCGTTTTTACAGATCGAACACGAGAGAAAAGGGACTAAGAAGTAACTTCAATTGATGTTCTTAGATTAACCTCAGCATCACCAATTCACCGATTTTCTTCGTCATTATCAACCAAACCCATCCATTTCCTCATAAATTCACGTGGGTTTGCTTCCAAAAAAGCTCTCTCAGCATCAAGGTATATAAAACCTATAGAGGTTTTGAGTGTCTCAGGATCTGTAAAAAAATTTATGTTTCTTGGATACCCACTGAGAAATAGTTTATATTTGACAAATTTTCTTTTCTTTTGTGTTATTTTATTTTTCTGGGTTTGTGAATGATATACTTGGAATGTTCAGAAATTTGATTTGGGTATTTCACAAAGTTTTTCGTTTTCGATTGTTGAAAACAGTCATAAATCAATGTTTTAAAAGGATTGAACCAAATTGGTGGTGTGTAATTAAGAGAAGGTTTGAAGTTGAAGATTTTTTGGTGGAGGAAGGAGGGGTGGCGGTTAGTGGAAGAAGAAGAAGCCGGAGCTGGCTCCGGCAGCTGTGAGGGAAGAATCTGGCGATGCTAGCAGAAAATCCAAGTCCCTTTCTCACTCTGTTTTTGTTTTGTTGTTCTTTTCTCTCTCTCTCTCTCTCTCTCTCTCGGTGATGGAAGTGAAACCCAACAACAAAAGAAATTTGAATTTTTTTTTCTTTATTTTTTTTTCAAATTACTCACCAAAACAACATCGTTTTGGTGAGTTTAAATCTTAACCCTTGGTTTAGTAAGTGGGCTACGTGTCGGCTCCTTGTGTTTCACTGTAGGAGATGACTCTAGGAATAATACTCTAGAGGATCTTTACGCGAGACTCTCTCTCTCTCTCTCATATTTCTAGTAAAAAATTAAAAAACTATTTTAATCTCTCTTTTTTTGCTAAAACAAAAAAATCAATTAACTCACTAGACACATCCCACAACACACACACACTCACTCACTCCCACACACACTCTCTCTCTCTTTTTTTCATAAGATATATATATAATTTTTAATATAAAATTTTAATTTTATCATTTCTAATAAAAAAATTTAAAATTATTTTAATCTTTTTCATTTTATTTTCATAAGATATATATATATATATATATAATTTTTAATATAAAATTTTAATTTTATAAAATTAGTATCATTGAAAATATACGTTTAAAATGACACTAATATTAAATATATTTAATAAAAATTTAAAATAAATAAAAAGTGTATTTAGGGGTTGTTTGGTGTGTCCTAAATAAGTACACTTTTTGTCTTTTTGGACTAAAAAATTGAGGAAGAAAATATAGATGTTTGGGTTAATTTTTTGACTTTTTATAGAAAAATATGTAATAAAAAATTGTAAAAATTGGTTTGTAGGAGAAAATTAGGATTAGGAGTTGTACAGCCGTAATTGTTGACTTTTGGTGAATAGTATTAACTTTTTAACTTTTTGAGTAACTTTTTGACTTTTCCGCTTTTCCTGGACATGCCAAACTTGGCTTTAGTTTGCACCTATACACACATTAAATTTGTGTGTTTTCTATTTCTTTTTAAAAAAATTATAAACTTGTTTGGTTAATAAAATAAAATTAAAAATCATTATTTTCATATGAGTTTTTTTGGGAATGAAGATTGTTTTTAAGAATTTCTAAAATATATTTTGTGTGTTTATTTTCATCAAATTAATTTTTATATTTAAAAAATAACAATTTGAAAACATAGCTAAGCATAGTAATTACTTTTTATTTATTTAAATTTTTATTAAATATATTTAATATTAGTGAAAGGGAGAAGTATGATCTGGATTGAACGATGGTAATACCGGACAGATTGTGGTCCGAACACATTTGGGCCGTGGTATCTTGGGTCCACCCAGAAGTGATTTTTGTTCGGAAAAAGCAAGGGCATGTAGAATCGAGCTACTTGACCTTGTATTTTTTAATTTTTTATTAGAATTGAGAGAGAGAGAGAGAGAGAGAGAGTGAATGGTGAGACGTGTATCAGTGAGTTAATTGATTTTTTTTTTTTTAGCTAGTCTCAGCCACACATTTTGAGTGCGGTGATGTGGCTCGATCTGACCGTCACCCTAAGGGGAGACTGGAGAGAAAAGTTGGAGAAGATCTCAACTCAAACAAGTCACCATAAACGCATTTAGGGTTGGTTTTGAAATAAGTTATTTTAGTAATTTTTAATTTTTTTAAAAAAAAAATATGTAAAAAATAAAGAGAATAATGTGATATTTTATAAAAAAAATTACTTTTTAATTAAAATATATAATTGCCAAACAAAACCTTAATAACACCTAATATTTCTATGTTCCCCTAGAAGTGATGTATTATTATAATTAAGGGATCAAAATATACAAATTATATATTACAAAAAATACACAAATATTTACTAATAATTAAAATAATTTTGATGTAATTAACACTTTTTAAAAAGAATTACAGCAAAGTCTCTGTCACCACCAATAATTCCATCGACAAGTATGCCCAAGAAAACGATTGATGGTAAGGTGCTACCTAGTCCATGTGTAGATGTGAGAGAGACTGATTTATACGAACATTTTCCATAAATTATTCAAGCTACAGACATGATTTATATGAACATTTTCCATAAATTATAAAAGATTTTTTTTCCAGCTGTAAAATTCCAAATTTTGCGGGAACAAACTGGAATGAGGTCACTGCTGTCACTGTTGTGCCTTAATTTGAGGTATATTATGGGTTTATTTTTACAATTTGAACCGTTCATTTTGTAAGATTTGTTGAATACTTGATACCTACCAAAAATTATATTAATCGGTAATCAAAAAAATAAACAAAAAGTTTTTCTTTTAAGAAGTAGCATAAAAAATATGCAATTCGATCATATACTTATTGATATTCGATTAATATGATTTTTGGTAGACATGAAGTACTCAACAGACCTTACAAAATGACGGTTCGAATCATAAAAATAAATTCATAATACATCTCAAATAAAGGCACAACAATCACCGTGGTGCCTTTAGCACAGCAGTGTCCCCAATTCCGGGAAAACTAGAACAAATCATTTAATGTGATTTTGATGGCCTCTTCAATGAGTATATGATCGAATTGTATATTTTTTATGCTATTTCTCAAAAGAAAAATTTATTTTTTATTTTTTTTGATTACCGATCATATAGTTATTGATATCTGATTAATATGATTTTTTGTAGGCATCAAGTATTTAATAAATCCTACAAAATAAATGGTTCAAATCATAAAAATAAGTCCATAATGTACCTTAAATTGAGGCACAACAATCACTGTTGTGCCTTTAGCACAACAGTGACCCCAATTAGGAGGAAACTGGAACAAACCATTTAATGTGATTTTGATGGCCTCTTCAATGCTTTTGACTTCATCTATTGATTGCATGCACACATGACATGGAGTGATTAATTGGTGTTCTTAAATCACTTCATATCATTTATCACTTTATAATTGCAAAATTATTTAATTAAAAAAAAATTAGTTGATGAAAACCCTAGCCACCAAAAACCACTCAAATCCCTTTAGACCCTCTGTTGCGACCTTTTTCCCTTCCCCATTCCATTGCTCAACAACACATGCTCGGCGCAAGTGCAATATATACACAAGTGCAAATTTGAACTGCCTGATGCAAATGGAAATTGTGCAGAATTGTGCACACTTGTCACTTATTCTGTGCATCTATTGCACTCACACCCAATCACATATTGCATTTGCAATAAACACAAAGAACACTTGCACCGAGCATGTCTTACAGCAAAGTGATCCTCTTGATTTTTATATACATATGATTGTGCAGCTGTGATTGTATTTAAACATAAAAAAAACAAACAAACAAAATAATCAAAATTCCCGACTTAATAATTGCTTATTTTAGTATCATTAAAAAAATTAACATAATATCTATTGTCTAGCATACACTTGGTGATCTTTTCTTATGTGTAAATTTTATTTTATTTTTAAGTTCAAATGATACTAAATGGCATTAATTAAGTCAAGAATACAGAAGCACGGTTTGGATTAACTTTTGAGAGTGCGTCCTAGCTGATCCCTTTCATAGGCAGAAAAACCACGGTTAACTTCCAAAATTCCTTCCAAATTGAATTCTCATGAAGCTCATCAATCGGGAGCTTAGCTTATATTTCCGCATCATTTTCTCCAACACACAATCTTTTGTTCGGAAATCAACTTCAGAACAAAACCATCTGATTCAAAAATCAACTTCCTAACATAAACTATTTGATTCGATTTGACTATCTTTGATTTGAAAATCAACTTACCAACAATAAATTCAAAAGGTCTAAATTTCCTCCCAAGTTGACCAAAAGAACTGTGCATGTGAAAATGTCAGTCACTACATTTGTATCATCTCCTACGCTATAAACATGATTGATTCCCTGTTTGAAAATTATTATTAAGAAAATAGTAAAACCAACTAATATCTTGTCATGTGTTCTGCTTAATATATATATATATATATATAAACGACATACCAGGAAAACAGTGCAAAACAAATCATATTTTCAAATGTTTAGAAATCACATAAGATATATTAACTTGTTCTCCTAAATGCTTCCAATAAGTTTACATACACCGAATTAAACAAATAATGATCAAGGAATTTGTCGGTGATCAAATTTTAGACAAACTATACACGTCACTTCTTTATAAACCGTACTAGTCATCAAAAGTAAACGTTCCCTCTCGCAAGTTTCAGAAATGGAGACTACCATCAAATTGTTTCAGAGCTTTCCTCATGAATACAATTTAATTTTCTCAACCAGGGTACAGAGTATTAAACAAGCATGTCAGTGTTACTAACGTTGTTGGGAACTAATAAAAGGTTGAAGTCATTGCACCTCCAAAAGGGGGCATCTTCTATCTTGTGGATTTCCAACCACATCATGTTTTCATCACAGTTCCTGGCAAAAATGGAAAAACGGGGCTCATAAGCAAGTCAGAGAAGAAAGAGGATTGAGTGAGAAGAACATGGCTGCAAACCCACAAATCCAATACTATACATTCAACAATCTAGAAAGCAAGAAACACTTCAAAATGGGAGTGGTGTTCGTGTCCGACATGAATGAGACACCAACAAGCCATGGACATAGATGTCTACATGTCAGACACGTCACGTCACGTGTTAAATTTTTTTAAAATTATTATTTTTTTAGGAATACTTCACGGATACGCATATCCTATGTTTGAACACACCTAGAACACTTTTGTAGAGACAAACTAATTCCGATATGAAGAGACAACCTGCAGTTTTTTTGCAACTGTCACTGAACAGTACGATAACTTTAACAATTTGTTGTTAACAAAAGTGATACCCATAGTCTTAATATAGAAACCACATTTTAACAAATAAAATGGTTAATTACACTTTTCACCCTAGTTTGAAAAAAAAAAATTCACTTTACTTCCTATAATTTCAATTTGAACAATTTGTTTCGTACACTTTTAGTTTGGTTTCAATTTGATCCTTCCATCTAAATTTTTGTTAATTTTGTCTGTGTACAATTTAGAAAATTGACAAATGTCCCAAAATTGTTAATTTTAATCTTCAATTTAGACAGAATGACCAAATTGAAACTAGACTATTCTCGTTTGGAAACAGGCTTTTTTAGTAACTTTTTGGTTTTTTAGCTAAAATGTGATGTAAAAAAAACTAGTATGTTTGGGATGACTTTTTGACTTTTTACGAAAAGGTTTGCAAAAAGTATAGAGAAAATAGAATCTTTGACTTTTTTGTATGAATTGTTGACTTTTTGATTTTTTTAATAACTTTTTGGCTTTTTGGCTAAACCGGTCGCTTCCCAAACGAGGCCTTGAAGTATATGGACCAAATTGTTCAAATTAAAATTATCGGGACTAAAGTGAAATTTGGGTCGGATAAAAGTGTAATTAACCCCAAATAAAAACAGTATACTGATAGCATAGAATAAAAATTTTAAAACCTAAGTTTTTGCAGCTGCTTTGTACTTTAATAACTTAAAGGAGTGGACATTAAATCACAAATGAAAATGGACTGACTTGATCACTGAACTCGCTGGAGCAGTTTCTCCACCATAATCTTTTGCTGAACCCCACTCAACGAATCTGAATTCATAATTGCATTTGATACAAGGATGACTGTAGATGGAGCCTCAGCGTTCACCTACATTGATACAAAAATGTCGAGAAAATAAGAAAGCATCACTACTAGAAAGTGATTTATTTTAAAAATAAGAATCCAAACTATATTTACAAATATTAAAATAGCAAGAATAAATTCTTCTCAAAAGGGCTTTTGGCTCAGCCCGCATAGATGACATCAAGCCTAGAGAAAGTAAAGGTCATAATACACAAAGGAAAGGGGAGAAGAGAACATAATAATGATGATGATAGTCATTAAGGGATTGTTTTACTTATAAAATTTATGCAGTAACGTGGCACTCTCACTCGCTTTTTAAACTTGAAGTCAATCCAACTTTAAGCTTGACCAAACTAGATTGCAACAACCCTTTATCAACCATCCACTAAACCACCCATCATCAATCCTACCATGTACTTGACGACATAGGATCAGACCTTCTGCAACAGTCATTGGCCATATCAATAGTTGAAAAAATCAAGGGTTTCTCCCAATTAGATGGAGGGCTTCGTGAAGGGAAGGTGGTAGTGCGGAGCTGGTGAAGTAGAGGTCTAGGGAGGGTGAGGGAGGCACAAGGGATGGCTCAGGCAGCTGGTGGTGGCAGGGTCGAGTGAGGGGTGGCTGGTAGTCGGGGAGTTTAATTTATTAATAGGGTTAAACCTGGGGTTATTTTTTAATTTCCACAAAAATAAAATAAAATAGTTTTGAAGCAAGGAAGCTCTTCAAGCCAACTGCAATAAGGAAGCAACGCAAGTTTCATACCCAAACACGGCCATTTAAACCAACTGCTATCTCAAAGGAGAGCTTCTTCCCAAGACCTTCAAGAACCGGACATGTTGGGGAGCTGAGCAGCCTAGAAGACGAAAAAACAGACATGTCAACACAACTGAAAGAAAATCTCAATACGTAGATTTCAAACAGAGTGGTTCTGTGTTGGAAATACTGAAATATCCATGTATTAAAGGAGAGGGAAAATCTCACATTCGGGCAAGGCCAGTTGATGATTCAAATGTGAAGCCATCTTTAAGGGGACCATACTCCGCTGCTTTCCCAGTGGCTACAAAACATGAACAGTTTTTCAGAAACTATAGGTCAATTGAGAATCTTAAATCGACCGAGAATTTTACAAGTAAAAAGAAGGCAACACATGGAAGCCATATATAGAATGGAGTCGGAAGTCTAGAATGAAAAACCAACCATCAGTGCATGACAACTCGGGATTCATGCCCATGTTTGCCTTCACAACCCGAACATAGATCAAAGTACCTACCTGCAAGATGAAGGTTAAGCCAACTGAGATGCAATAATATTAAAAGAAAAAAATTAGCGATAAGTTTCAATTTTTAGGACAGTTTTGCTGAACTACAATGGGTGCATATATTCAGCAGTTCCAAACCACATCCAATGGGAATCCCAGCCTGCCCTTGATTTACTCTTTTTCAGTTTTCCCATTCTCAGTGTTGGTCTTAGCACTAAACAAACAATCTGTTGGTCAGATTCACTTTTCCTGAAGCAGGTTTTGCAATCCAATCATGGAACATGAACACAAGATTGAGATGGACATAGTCATTGTAAGCATCTTCAGGTCATATAACCCAAGTTTACGAGAAAACAGCGGGGCATCAATCAACAATAAATAGGATAGCATAGTGCATTAGTCAAAACATTCTAAATGGTGAAACTTGCACCTCAAACTTGGGTATGTTTCTCCTTGTTCCTCCTTCAAATGAAAGTACAGGAAGAAATGCCAATGCAGGCCCTTTTATATCCACAAGGAAGTTCTGAAATGAATAGAGCAAAGAATTGTGTCAAGAGTTCGCGTAGATTTTAAACATACTAAAGTGAAAAATAAATTGGATACCAGTGATTTTTGTTTTTTTAAAACAAACATGATAAGTGAAATATATTGCATCATTAAATATTCCTCTTCAAGAAGGTACATACAACCCAAAACAGGCAAATAGAGATACAAACATTACCGATATTTTAGAGCAATCATACATAAACTCAATAAGAGCACTAAGGATGTCAAAAAATAAACATGTGGTGCAAGAAACATGATGTCTAAACTCTGTCCTGTTTGGCAAGAACAGTGGCATGCATGACTCTGACACAAATACACAAAGACCCTTTTTTACAAGTCCTTAAGAAAGGTCTTAAAAACGTAGCCATCCAAACACTATCCCCTCAAAAATCAAGTTTAACATTTTTGTTTTCAACAGAAAAAGAAAATATGAAATTGATGCCAGAAGCAACTTATACAGAGAGAAAGGAAGTTTCTAGCCATAAAAAACAGGAAAATTTAACAGCAAGCATCAAGACTTACAGTATTCATGTAAAATTTGAGATTACATAGTGATTAAAGCTACACATGAGAACAAAATTAACTTTGATTTGACAAGAAAAAAACCTTGTTCAATTAACTATGACAAGGTTGATGCATTCTGACCAGAGATGTAGAAAGAATCCCCAATACTACCCCCCACTATGAAGCACGGACACGGACACCGATATGGAACACGGCAATTTCCAAAAAATGGGGACACGGACACAGCGGGAGACACGGCGACCTTTCTTTTTTTAAATATATTTTTATGTGCTATGTAGATTCATATTACATTCATCATAAATCAAAATTAATAAACACTAACATAGTAACATTAATTCAATAAATATAATCACTGCATTTAAACAAATTAATAGATCATTCATTCACAAAGAAGTCATAATAAACGATAACAAGAACTAAGACGAGAAGGGGAAAACATTCAACATCTAACAATATTCTTCGCAAAAGCACCAAATAAGAGAGGCAAAAGAAGAAGAAAAAAAAAAGTCAGACCCGCCGTGTCTCATGCCGTGTCCCGACATGGACACGTGTATCCCCACCGTGTCCCCTACAAAAAAATCATTAAATTAAAGGGACACGCCATCTGGCGTGTCCCGTACATGTCCCCGGCGTGTCTTCGTGTCGAACACCACCACGGCACCGATTTTGAAGTGTCTATACTTCATAGCTACCCCATTAGATAAACTCTCAGACTTTGTGATCTACATATTTATTTGGATCACTCCCCACAACTCCAATAGTTCTCATCAACAGTTTGCATGTTTTCAAGGATCCTCAACAAGTAAGATCTGTTCAAATGATCTCAAGTGATTTCTCATTTTTTCTCCCTCTTGTAACAGAACACACAAAATAATTGTTGCAGGGTTTGCAGGATAAGCCTCTTTCCGCTTCCGTGGCAGCAGAGGTACAAACAGCCTATGTTTACTGACACCATGTCTATTTGTTCATCTGATTAACTGAGAAGAGAACCCCTTGAGATGCTCAAGCTTTTAACGGTCACCCTAAAATGGGAATGACAAGTGAATAGAAAGGTAATCTAAATGCATCCTGCACCAAGTTATCAATAGTGAGAATGTCCACACGCGCACACCCAAAAAAAAATGAGCTTTGTTGGCACACCAGACTTCCAAATAAATTCCCCTAGAAAAGAAGCCATATCCTCACCGATGATCAAAGAGTGCTAGGATATAATCTTTTCCATTTCTTATACTCTCCATTGCTCTCAATTTTCTATCCATCCTACCAGATGGAGTATTAGGTTCTAAATTATTCAAATTTGTGATCATAGTCATTTGCCCCTTTCTTCTTCTTCTTCTTCTTCTTCTTCTTTTTTTTCTTTTTTTTTTTTGATAAATAAACAATAGTCATTTCCCCTTCTTAATGTAGAAGTTTCTTAATGATTCAAACTTTTGTAATCATTCATGTCAACTGGTGTCAAAATGAACAACCACATTAATGCCACAAAAGGAGGAGGTGATAAAAAAAAAAGAGATTTCCACAATGCTTGTGTTACATAGGCTATCAAGCTACACAACACAGAAATCTGACAGAAAGAAAATTTTTAATATATTTATAACAAATAATGGAGAACCAAAACACATCCTTTAATTGCAGTAATAAGCTAATCAGAAAAATAGAAGGTTTAACTATAACTGAAATTAATAAACCAATAACATTGAATGATGTAAATGATTAGAGTGCTTACATCAGCTTTGGAATCTACCACAATTCCAAGAACATTATCCCCCACACAAGGCACGTACTATAGAGAACAAAATTCAAACACAAATTAGAATGTTCTATGCAGGAAATAAGACATAGAAACATTAGAATTATTATATGCAAGAAACAAACTCAAACTGATAACTGATAGTAAAATACATAAAAATTTAAAGAACAATGAAATCCTAGTGTAATAGATAGCAAGAAAAAAAAAATGAAATACATTCAATTTTGAGTGCATAGATTTGTAAAATCATAGAAAAATCACTAATATTATAATGTAGAGCTAAAGTGAATATTGATGAGCTTCATGTATAAGATCAAACCAATCCAAACCAAACTAAGCTTTGTGTCCCAATCAAGTGGGGTCAACTACATGAATTTTGTGAGGCCATTTTGCTTTGTCAAGGGCTATATGCTCAATTAAATTAAATAAATCCATTTGTTTTAAAATCATATCCCATGTCAATTTAAGTCTTCGCCCATCCCTAACATTTTCGTATCACTTTTCCTTACCATTGCATCTACAAGTCTTCATTGTACATAATCAAAGCATCTTAGCATGTACTCTCTAAAGTTATCTTTAATTGGTCCTCTATTTCAGGAATATATTCATTTCTAATTCCATATTTCATACTCTTACCACAAATCCATTTAAGCATTCTAATCTATGCTACATTCATTTCATGAACATACTTCTTAGTTGTTCTTAAGCCATACAATTATGTGTTTTTAGTATTTTAATTTTATAGATAGATAGATAAATAGATGTTCTATAAAGCTTTCCTTTCAATTTTGTCAGTATTATATAAGATCAAAAAGATTAAAAACATAAATAAAAAAAGAGAAGAATACATTTTAAATAAAATAAAGTAAATAAACCATGACAACATAAAAAAAATAAAAAATAAAAATTTGGATAAATAACCAAACTTTATTACAAAACATCAAAATGATGCAAAGAAATACAAAACTGAAAGTCACCGAGGCTCACAGAATCAACAAATCAAATCCTCCACAAAATCTACAAAAGCCAAAACATCAGGATTAACCGAACGTGTCACCCAACTACACAAAACCATAAGCAGGCGTCTTTCTAACCAAGGAACCGAATGAGCTACCCCCTAGAAAACACGCCTATTATGCTCCAACCAAACCATCCATAGAAGATAATGAGAGGCAAGTATCCACGCCTTTCGGCGCCGCCGCCCAACACGACCCCAACCCAACTCTACAGAACAGCCTTGACTGAATTCGGCTGCACCCAAACCAAGCCAAAGGTCGCAACAACAAACATCCAAAGACAAGAAACGACCGGACAATGAACCAACAAATGATCCACCGACTCCGCATCACCACAGCACAAGCAACACCAATTGACTAAAATGTGGCCACGACAAATCAAATTATCCAAAGTCAAAATACATCCCAACATTGCCGTCCACAAGAAAAAAGGCACCTTGGACGACGTACCTGACACCCAAACACATTGCCAAGGGAAAACAACAGCCTCCTCATGAACAAGCACATTATAAAATGAGGAAACAGAAAACTTTCCTTTAGCCCTAGGGCAATCCCACTCCAAAGCATATAGCCCCAACCCCCCAACACGCAACTCATATAAAAAACCCAACTCCAACAGCTGGTCTTGCTCCCAATCTTGTATATTACGGCACAAGTGCACATTCCAAAACATCGAATCCCCTCGCCCAGACCGCACAGCATCCACCATCACCTCCGTATTAGCAGCAATTCCAAAAATCAAAAGGAACCGCACTTCCAAGGAAAGGTAACCACACCACCTATCCTGCCAAAACCGAACTCTATCCCCCACTCCTACCTTCAATTTAACCCTCCTCCAGAACTCCTCCCACCCTAACCAAATCCCTTTCCATAGACCATGGCCATGTGATTGGACCACCCGCCCAGAACTCCACCCTCCCCTCCCCTCACCTCACCAAATTTTGCCACCACCACCCTCCTCCAAAGACAGTCTCTCTCCGCTACAAAACGCCACAACCATTTTCCCAACAAATCCACATTAAACATAACCAACCTCCGAATCCCCAGACCCCCATTGACCCTGGGACGACAAATCCGATCCCAAGCCACCAGATGATGAGAACCCTCCTCCCCATTGCCCCAGAGGAAATCCCTCTACAACTTCTCAATCCGCTTTGCCATTGACACCGAAATGACATGAACAGACATAAAGTAAGTTAGAATGCTAGATAAGACACTCTTAATCAACGTGAGTCTGCCAACTTTTGATAAATACTATAACTTCTACCCAACCAACTGCTGCTGCACACGCTCCACCACCCCATCCCAAACCCCCTTCGCCTTGAAAGACGCCCCGAGAGGTAACCCCAAATATGAGACTACCAGAGATGTCATCTTACACCCCAGAATAGCTGCCAACACCGATGTCCTCTCCACCTCGCCCACTGGAATCAGTTTCGACTTCGCTAGATTCACTCGAAGGCCTGAAACTGCCTCAAAACACAACATCACACACCTCAAGTGGCCAATCTAAGCAACATCTGCACCACAAAAAAAAAGCGCATCGTCCGCATAAAACAAATGGGAAATCGTCGGAGGTACTGTATCCACTCCCACAGCGAACCCCTGCAACAAGCCCCCTTACATTGCTCGAGACAGCAAATGCCCCAACACCTCCATTACCAAAATGAACAACAAAGGAGATAAAGGATCCCCTTGCCGTAACTCTCTATAAGTAGGAAAGAAACTCGCTAGAGACCCGTTAACAAGAACTGACATCTGCACCATAGATATACAAAAATGAATCCACCTCCTCCATCAATCCCCAAAACCTAATATGTGCAACATATACAATAAAAACTTCCAATTTACCTTATCATAAGCCTTCTCTATATCAAGTTTGCAGATAAGCCCCTCTTGCCCTTGCCGAAGTCTAGAGTCCACACATTCATTGGCCACTAGAACCGCATCCAGAATTTGCCGACCACTCACAAAAGCATTCTGAGACTCAAAAACCACCCCTTCCAACACACCTCGTAACCGATTCGCTAACACTTTTGCCAAAAGCTTATATACACTACCCAATAGACTAATAGGCCGAAAGTCCCCAATATCCGCAGCCCCATCCTTCTTTGGGATCAAAGCAATAAACGTGGCATTGAAGCTGCACTCAAACTCCCCTGACTGATGAAACTGCTCAAACATAGCCATCATATCTGCCTTCACCACCCCCCAACATTGCTGAAAAAAGACTATCGAAAAGCCATCTGGACCTGGCGGCTTATCCCCAAGCATACTCCATAAAGCCTCAAAACACCTCATCTTCGGCAAGAGGTCATTCCAACAAGCAACTATCCGCCTCTAAAATGTATCAAAAATAACACCATCCAGGCCTAGTCTCCACACCTCCCCTTCATCCTGAAATAAATGCTCGTAGAAACACACAATACCTGCCGTAATCTCCTCGGACGATGACAGCTCCACACCATTTACTCGCAATCTGCCTATCTGGTTCACCCGTCGATGAGCATTTGCCAAACGGTGAAAAACTGTGTGTTTCGATCCCTATCCTTGAGCCACAAGCATCTAAGTTTCTGCCGAAAACTAATCTCCTCCATACAGACAATGTGACCAAATTCCGCACGGGCCCCATCTCGACGAGTAAGATCTGCCTCAAACAATCCCCCCGCAGCCTCTATCACATCCAACTCCTGCAACACAGCGAGCACATTGACCTTCTGGACCTGCAAACGCCCAAACACTTCCCTATTCCACGTCTTCAAATTGGACTTGAGAAGTTTAAGTTTCTGTGCCAGGTGACAACTCGTCAAGCCTGAAACAAAATAATTGTCCCACCAACCCTTCACCCACTCCTTAAAACCCTTAGATTGCAACCACATATTCTCAAACCTAAACGACGCCGGTCACCTCCTGATTCCCGCACTATCCAATAAAACTGGCCAATGATCTGTTACTGGACGGGACAACCAAATTTGAGTCACTTGAGAGAAATGCTCCTCCCACTCCCCTAATACCAAGAATCTATCAAGCCGAGACATTGCTCCTCCCCCCAGACCACGTATAGGCACCACCCTACAACGACAAATCTACCAGTGTCATATCATCAATAGACAAAGAGAACGCCCACATAAAATCCACCACCGAAGTTGCCCCCAACTTCTCCTCTAGACTCCTCACCACATTAAAGTTGCCACCTACACACCATGGAACCCCCCACCGATAAGCAATGCATTATAGCTCCTCCCAAAAAACTTAGCCGCTCCTCTCCATGAACCGGCCCATATACCCTTGTAAAAGCCCACCGAAAATCGTCCTCAACGCACTGAAATAAGCAAGAAATCGAAAAAGCCCCCACCTATTCCTCCTCTTTGACCACCACCCTTTTATCCCAACAAAGAACTCCCCCTGCCACCCCTAGAGCCAACAAATACGTCCAATCCACAAACCGACCACCCCACAACTCCCTAAGAATCTCCCTCCTAAACACTCCATCTTAGTCTCCTGAAGACACACCACATCTGCCCGCGCACTATGGAACACAGACTTTACCAACCCTCTCTTGCCCCTATCATTTAATTCACAAAAATTTTTAACCGCATTACAACAACAACAACTAATTTCCGAGACCCTTTCTAGTGCCCCGCCTATTCCCTCCTTTTTTCCGATCATAATTTATGGAACACTCCAGTTTCCGTAATTCCCTAACACGCTTTCCATTGTGTTTCACAGGCTCCACCACATCCCGAGTAGGAGCCCCATCCCTCCATGAGTCCTCTATTGCCTTTCCATCGTGTTTCATAGGCTCCACCACATCCCGAGTAGGAGCCCCATCCCTCCATGAGTCCTCTATTGCAGAAAAAATTCCAGTGCCTCTTCCTCATGCCCTTCAAAAGAAACCCCCAAAAATTGGCTCACCTCATTGATACAAGAAAGGACCCAATGCAAAACCTCCACTGGGCTCGGACATCCCTCCCCCTGAAACTCTGTTTCTGTCACCGATACATCATCCTCCTCCCTAACATCCACCCCAACTTCCCCGCTACAGGGTACCTTTGGTCCGACCACCAAGGCCAGCTCATCTGCCACGTCAGCCCAGCGACCTTCCGTCTGCGTGTCCACTGCCTCACGCCTGTCCTTGCAACCCCCCTCATCATGGCTCTGCCCCTCCAACATGGCACCAACTTGATGCAACTGAGCATGATACAACTGCGAACCAGTGACGGCAGAACCTGACGACGGCGACATGCCCACTGGCCAACCACTGGCAACCCTCTCGTGAAGTGGCGTATCCTCCACCAACACCCCCAAAGCATTGACAATCAGACAGCACCCAACCCTGTCACGCAACAACGCAAAGACCCGACTGAGATCCAAGTTGGTGTTACTAGGCTTGCCTGAAGCACTACCGCCTGGGTTGGGCTGGGCGAACTCCTGCCCCACAAGGCCCACCTCACTTTCCACATAACCCAGACCCCTGGCAACATCTGTTAGGCCCCGCCTGTGCTTGCCCACTAGATTAACAATGTTTTGGGCCTTGTCAAGGCCCAGATATGTGGCCTTAAAACCCCCTTTAAAGCCCACACCCTTCCCTACATGGAAGCGAGGCCGATACCAAGAAACCCTAGATTCATTCTCCCTCCCAAATCTTTGCAAACATTCCTTCACCCCCAAGATCTTCGGGGATCCTTGGTTTGGTTGGCGTGAATCACACCCTACCCTTCCCAATCAAAGATTCGCCTCCACCGCAAAAGGCAGCGCAACAAGCTCCACCGTTGGCCCGTCCTCCACCCACACCGGCACCAAATAATTCCACGACCCCCATTGAATGGAAACTCGCGATGGTGTGTAAATTAACAATGATAAATTTTGTTTTAAAAATTAAAGGTGGGTGTCTTAATAGATTTTAATAGATTACAAAAATGAGGCAAATGTTTTCATTGAAGCTTTAACCATTATTCTGAGCAGTAGGGTAATCCAATGTAACATTTTTCAAAAGTACAAAAAAAGACCTCAATCAGCCCTCAGAAAAACACATGCAGCTGAGTAGAGATAAAAAGGTGATCAAATCACATTAATGCTTCATCTCGCAATAATTTCTCACCACAAATACCCATAGATTTCCCTTATCCAAAAGTAGAAAAGGGAAAATCAACACTTAGCTTCCAAACTTTGAATATTCTGCTGGTTTTAAATAGCTAAACACTATTTAAGGGGATAAATGAAACACGGGCAAGTTTGAAAAAGACAATTTAGTTAAAATCAAAACAATGTGCTTGTTTTATATGTCTAGGATAAATATGAGAATGCTTTACTTGCCCACCTCAAGTTTGGAAAAACCCTTGTGAAATATAGGTTGCATAACTAACTTCAAGCAGTCTCGTCATAACCATTATGAAATGGCATAATAAACAATCTTAACATATCCAGACGAATACACAATAAGGAAGAGTGCACAAACACTATAGCCCATGATTATTCAAGGTTAAAATATTGGGAAACAGAAGAAAATCTAAATGCTTACATGGAATGAGGCAAATAAAATTTACAATTTTTTTTTTTTTCCCTAATAGGGCTAAAACTTATAGGTTGTATAGTTATTAAAACATCAGAGAAAAATAAGGCACCTTTTTCACATTTTATCATATGACATGATTTTAACACCACACTCACTCTCTTTTGGAAGCTCTCAACCCAATATTTGTTTGGCTTCACAAATCTCAGCTTCCCAGCCTTCATGACAGAAATAGCATCACAATCCTGAAAATTTTGGGCAGACAAGAAGGATGTGAATTGAGAATGAAAATAAACATATTGATAGGAAAAATATTTGAGTATAACATAGAGGAATGAAATTGAAGTTGGAGAAGAGTGTGATCGGTGACTCCACACTTCATTAAAAAAACAAAAATTTAAATCACTACAAGCATGAAAACTACAACCCAACGAGCAAGGGCTAGCATAGTTGGCCAAAACCCTTCCACCTCCTTACTAGGAGGTCAAGGGTTTAAGTCTTGCCATAGGCAAGACTCCCCCTAACCCAGCAGCAGCCTCAAATGTACCAAAAAAACTACTACCCAACAAGAAATTCGCGTGAAATTCGAGTGGTTAAGAGCAATGAAACCAAATGAATTCATGACCAAATTGAAGTTAGAGAAGAGAGTGTGATCAGTGACTCCACACTTCATCATTAATGATGTGTTTGATTGGGGGATTTGAGAAGAGCTTTAGAAAGAGAAATGAAAAAAGTAGGTGAAATATAAATAAAATATACCTATATTTCACCTAGTTTTATATACTTTTTTCCAATCTCTTTCCAAATCTCTCTCTAAATCCCCCAACCAAACACAACGTAAAGAAAATAAATTTAAATCACTACAAGCATGAAAATTACTACCCAACCAACAAGGGCTAGCAAAGTTGGCAAAAACCCTTGCAACTTACCCCCTCCCCCATTCAATGGCCTCCGATGTACCCAAAAAACTACTACCCAACAAGAAATTTGAGTGATTGAGAGCAATGAAACCAAATAAATTCACGACCAAGTTAGGAATTGTATATTTGTGGAGACCAAATAAACAAAATCACTATCTTCACAACACTTTTTTTTCTTTTTCTTTTTTTCCTTGTGTGACTCATCTTCTTATCCAAAGGAAAAAATAATGGGTAATTTGCACCAAATCCAACAAAACAACACGCACACAAGTAAGAATAAAACAAACCTGATGGAGACCACCCCCAAGCTTGATGGTTTGATTAGCCATACTTGAGAGGTCAAGAACCACATCCCCTGGAACCTGAACACATTCAAAAACACATATATATTTATATCCACATATAAATATATATAAATTGTACATACAATGCAGGGGAGTTAATGTAACTACTCACAACAGATTGATCGACGAAACTTGATGGCGAATTCGACAGATTAGCTTCCATCTCGAGAACAAACACTCGAAAATATACGGGTTTTCGTTTACTCTATGCAATGTTCTATCAAATCATAAGATTCACTGCATATAATATTGAATTGTGAAGCAAAGAAGAGACTTATTGGATCTTCTACAGCTATATTTTTGCTACGAGTCGGAATTGAAATAAATATGGAGATAAATATGGAGGGAGAGAGTAGAAATCTGTAAGACACAGTACAGATGCGGGGCTAGGGTTTTTGTTCTGGTAATGGTATGGATGCCCCGGCTAGGGTTTAAGAGGAAGTAAACGGAGGTGAAACAGAGTTACTATAAAAAATAGATTAGGCTTAATGGCAACTGGGCGTGGCGCCGGGGACCGCACTCCCCGTCCCCGATCCCCGAAGCTACAAAACTCCCCGTCCCCGTCCCCGATGGGGAACCCAAATACTATTATCAATCATCAAACACTATATTTCTTGTTATTTTCATGTGACCCAATATAAAATCGTGAGTTCTATCCCTTCTATCAATTACAACATTTTTAAAACATACAATACCCTTAGACTGTATTAGTCTATGGATTTGTAAAAAAAATAAAAAATAAAAAATAAAAAATAAAAAATAAAAAATAAAAAATAAAAATAAAAGAGAAAAGAAAAATATAAGTGAAATGTGATAATTATATTTCACCTATATTTTACACCTTTTTTTTTTTTCTTTTTCAATCCATTCCTCTGAGGAAGTGGTTACGGAATACTCCTTCTCACCAAACAAGCTCTTGTAGGATCTTCACAGTTGTCACTTGAAATAGAAATAAAACTCCAAACGGTGGTGCCGAAATTAGCACTCTGACGGTCAAATTATTCTCTGTTGAAAGATTGGTGTTTTATGATTTCTTGAGATTCAAGGTTCCTTTTTTTTACATACATGTTTCTCTTGTCTCTCTCCTCCTTTTATAGAGTCATTCTCATCGATCTTTACTCCATGCAGTTTAACCCTTTATTATCATTCTGTCAGGGCTCATCTCCCTCCTATACTTCCTTAAAATGGACAGTTTGGTCCCACTTAATGGGGATGCCGACTCGCCCAACACACTCGGCTCAGTTGTTCAGGACAGGTACCTGTAATTCGACGCTCCTTGATATTTTTATGTTTATTCAGACATTTATTCGGCAATGACGTAGTCTGGTGGGCTTTGGCTTTATTTGGCCCATCTTAGACGGGTTTGGATGCTCTGTTGGCCGTTTTCAAGTATAACCTATTTTCGATTCCCACAATTTCCAAATTTATAAACCAAACAGACAGTGGCAGAAAATCAAAACTAAAGGAGGCCAAAAGATACACATGAGTGAATGTGTTCAATTTATACAGAAATTAAGGGAGGCAAAGAATACACATGAATCATTAGCTTAATTCAATTTTAAATGCATTTGATCTTTTTTTTATTGGCTAAAATTCTAGGCCCGGTTTATTTATTAATTTTATTTTTTTTAACAAAAATAAGAACTTCATTAATAGATAAAAGAAATTTAACACGAGTTTGTCATCTGCACTTTGCTAAATAGTTACTCAATCTCATGTATTATATTAATTTATGAGGAAAATAATGTTAAGATAATCATATTTCCTTACCAACATATTATTGATCATGTTATGTGTTAACATTGTATTAGATTAATGAGTCTCATCACTCATGATTGTTATCAATGTAGTATTGATATATGAGATTAATGGTAAACAAAGCATGACAGGAAAATGTAGTCATCAAGACTTGAAAATATGAACTACTTCAACAAGTCTTTTGCTTTAAAATGATAAAATTATAATTTGCTAAATTGTCATGTCATTATGTATTAATTTTATATAAAATATTTGGAATAATACTACAATAATCGTGTTTATATATCATAATTTGGTTACCATATAATATGTTATTATTGAATTAATAACATATATAAATGAGATAACTCATTCAATCAATAGGCATATGACAAAATGATATGAAAAGAATTATTCGGTTTGGGGGGGCTGGAAAAGAATGAAAAGAATTATTTGGCTTATTCATGAGGTAGAGACCATGTATATATAATAGATTTATGGTATAATTTAGAAAATGATATAAATAAGAAAACGATATAAATAAAGAAACAATACTAAATCAGTTATTGACACAATCACAGATTATATACATAATATTAAAAATAAAATTTTTTTATGTACTTTAATTTTTATATTTAACAGCTAGTTTTTCATTGTGTACGGATGAAAGTCTGAATTGAAAATAAATATGTATTAAATAAATAAATATAAAATAATATAAATTGTGTATTATAATATTGTGAACGAACTGTCGGAGGCAACTAAGGTTTCATTTGGGAAGCAAAAGTTGGGGGTTGGCTTTTTTGGCTATTTTAGCCACAAAAAACAAAATAGGCTATTTTAGCCATAACAAACAAAACATCACATCCAACCCATAATCATTACATTTTTCTCTCACAAAAAAAGCCAAAAAAGTCAAAAAGTCAAAAAGTCCTTCCCAAACCAAACTTTTTAGCCCAGGCTAAAATAGCCAAAAAAACCAAAAAGCCAAAAAGTCAACTCACTTCCCAAACGGAGGCATAATTGATATTGGATATAGAATAATGTACGAAAAAATAAGGAAAAAAAAAAAGACAATTTAGCATTAAAAAATCTTAATACCCTTGAAAGAATTAAGAAGAAAAATGTAAAATGCAAAATTGGTATTGGGTTTGTAGATTATCTCAATTTATCATGAAAAATATGAAAAATGAATATTTGTCAAATAGAGTTTATATAAAATAGGTAAAGTTAATATAATTTAAATTAGGTTTTGATTTGTGTAAAACTCTATGTAATTAATAAAATATATGCTGGCGTAGCTCTCTTAGAAAAAAGTAAGCTTTTATAATGTGTCAGTTATGTATGGAAAAAATATTATTTTTAATAATATACAAGTAGGTAACCGATGCGATGCACAGGAATTTATTTTTAAAATATAAAATTGATTTTGAATATTAATATTTTATGTCTAAAAAATTTTAACAATTGAAAGAAAAATACAAACAGATTTGCTAATGGCTGATGAAAATTTTTGTCACTGCATGTGTAATCTTATGTAAAAAGCTCATAAAATAATTTTTTCAATTTATTTTGTTAAAAAAAATGTATTCCCAACCTGAAATCAAATTCTTATTTGTGTTAATCAAATTTATTAAAAATCATGAATTCCACTTGTATCAAAATATATTTTTTTTTGAAAAAAATAAAATAATGGAAAGTTCTATAATATATGACTTGGTTATAACTCATGGTGCATTATTTTGGTTATTAATCAAATCTTTGCTAATTTCTTATGCTTTTGGTTATGTCTAAAATGGTGCATTATCTTTAATTATATTTCAAATGGTGTTTAATTATGATCTATTATCATACTTTTATATGATAATATTTAAGTATTTTATTACACAAAAAAGTGCTTAAAGTGGATTGACTCAAAAGTATGATTTATGCTTATATCAGTAAGATCGTAAAAGTTATTCACATTGATGCATAAAAAATTACACATTCAAATCATAAACAGTGTCCTCAAAGGGAATCAAGTACAAAATCTCTATAACTTTAATAATTTTAGTTCTCAAAAAGTTTTGATTATTATGTGACACATCATAATAACCGCAAAATTTTTATTTCAATCAAATTATTTTTTGCATATTTTTTTTGGCAGAGCTCGTGAAAGTGCATTATTAGTAATACTATAAATTCAAAAAAATTATTTAAAATTTATTCAAGAAACATCAATAGGTGTCTTAAATATACACAATCATTTTTGATGAATCATTATTTTTTAAAATAATACTTCATACTATTTATCATTTGATATTTGTCAATTTATCTTCTAAAACTTAACCTTAAAAAAATAAATTAAATAAATAAAAAAAAGAAGAAGAAGAAGAAGAAGAAGATTGAGTTCTATTATTTTAATCAATTAATATCAAATTAGACGTTACACATGTATGTAAATCACTTTTAGAAACATGTTATCTGACATAAAATCGCAATGGAGTCAACTTTAATTAGTATAATGATATTTTATATTATGATATGTGTTACAAAAGAATAATTTTAATTTTAATTTTAATTATTTATTTTAATAATCTTAGCTTTATCGTTATATAATAAATTTAGTTAAATTATTTGCTGATTTTGATAATTTTAGTTTTACTATAAAAGTGTAATTATCATTGTAATAATTTTATATGATATATATTAAATTATAAAATTATAAAATAAACACTCATTTTGATATTAAAAATAATATTTAAATTAGAAAAAGAATTAGTAATATAAAAGTAAAAAGTGAATCTAATTATTTAATTTAATTTTTATTTGGATGATAAAAATATGTAGAAATAGAAATACACAATTTTTTTTTAAGATTAAATATAAATATGTTGTGATTGGATTAAGAACAAAATACATAAATTAATTATATAGAGTATTGATTTTTTTCCCTTTAATATTCTCTTTGAATTATTCAAACATATTATATATAGGTATATAAAATTTAAATTAAATATGTGACGACCCCAAAATGTTAATCGTAATTATACGTGATTAATTATGTATTGAATTTTAATTATGACATGTGCCAAGTGATTAATTGTGACTTATCTAATTTGATTCGTTGTAAATATCTGTTATTGAGAAACTATCCGTTGTGAGCTCAGCTTTGAACCTAAAATTGACGACATAAATAGGTTCAGAAATCAAGATTGAGTACAAGGATAGGTTAATTAGAATTTTTAGAGTCACCCGGAAAGTTTAATTAAAAATTGATTCCGTCTGATTCACTAATTTTAATAGGTTGAAGTTAAATAATTGAATAGGAATTAGAGTTTGATACACATTAGTGTAATTTAATTTAATGTAATTGAGGTTTTATTGTGATGAGGATTAATTTAATTTAATTATAAATAATTTATTAATTTTGGATGAATTAAGTTTAATATTAAATGGTAATTATATGAAACTTTTCCTCGTCCTTTTATCTCCTTAATACACAACAAATGAGAGAGAGAGCGTACTTGGTTTGGTAGAGCTATTAAACAACCCACACGTAGAGAGAGGGAAGAAAAGAGACAGTTCTTGGGTTGAACTCAAAAAAGGAGAATTGAAGAACTTAGGAAGGACTGGAAGGTAGCTCATTAATCATCAAATTAAGGTGAGTTTTCATTCCAAATTCTTGAAATTAAGGTAAATCTACTCCTCATCTTCTAAAATATAAGTTGAATTGAGATGACTTCATGCATGTGATAGGAGTTTTGGCTATGAGAATTAGAGTTTAACATGAATATGTCTCAAATTGAAGGAATAAAATAAATTAGTTTTTAAACTTGT